CCTCCAATGCAACTCTTATCAACAACATCTGCTGGAAATTGACCATAGAATCATGCTGGAAGACCTACAAATGCCTAGAGAAATGTTTTCTCTAGGAATCTCTAGGTCCTCCAGTGTGACTCAATGGTCATCATCTGGCAGAGTTGCTTTGGAGGGCCTAAAGATTCCATGAAGAGAACTTATTAATCAAATCCACAAATGAATCAAATCTGCAAAAGTCAAAGTTGCAGATGTGGAATGCTGACTGTATTATGATTTGAGATCATATTGAAGGAAAGGTCTGAGTAACACCAATACAGTAATAACTTTTGAAATGAAAATGTTTCTCCAACTGCTTTGAGTAGATAGATTGAACCAAATGGTTGGGCAACAGCAAGATGGCATAATCGTTATCAATGCCCTGGCAACAGGGCTTCGTTCCAAACATTTATCTAAAATTGCCACCTTAATAGGGGTGTGTAAGTATTTTTTGGGGGGTGGGGGGTTGTACCTTTTACAATACAAAGTAAAGGAAATATAGGGGGCAGTGAATAATGCTTTCTTACTTACATAAGTAAGTATGTAACTTACTTGAATATTTGAATATTTATAAAAACTTGCTAATGTGATCGCTAAAGGTTCTGGTTAACAATTATTTATGTTTCTATGGCTTTGTCATCTTAATATCTATATTAGAATGCATAGGTGTTAGAAAAATGAAATTTAAACATTTGTTGTAATAACAGACAGAGTATAATACTTTGCTATTACTTTTTTTTTTTTTTAAACAGGAAATCATTTTTCTCTGGTCATGCCTCTTTTTCCCTGTACACCATGCTTTATTTGGTGGTAAGTATAAGTTAATTTGATTGATTAAAATGCATAATCTCTCTTTCTTGGGATGATGGAGGAAAATAGGTAGTATACTTATCCAGAGGCAGAGAGAAATCTCTAGTACAAATCTTATAGTTAATATAAGGCCTAAGCAGACTGTGCACATTAAATTGAGGCACTGCCCTGGTTCAGTGCTAGGGAGTCATGGGAATTGTATTTTTTTCTGAGACATTGAGCCTTCTCTGTCAGAGAGCTCTGGTGCCACAATAAATTACAATTCCCATGATTCTCTAGCACTGAGCCAGGGCAGTGCCTCAATTTAATGTGCACTATTTCTGGTAGTCTGCTTAGGCCCATAGTTACAAATTGAAATCTTATGTTCCTAAACCCTCTGACCAACAACTCAAACCTGCAGGCTTGAAAGTGATAAAGAGCCTGCCTCTTAAAGCCACTTATAGTATGTGCAAGCTGAAGTGCATGAGCATTTGCAAAGATAAATGACATGACATCCATTTCTGCCACCATGAACAAGTGTGTCCACAGGAACTCAAGTGGTTGCTTGCTCATGCTTTTCTTTCACTCTAGATTCAGAGCAACTTGTCTCTACAAGTTTGTGCAGCTGCATACAAAGTAGTTTGGAGAAAATCATTAATGTGAGTTTGCATGACTGTTTATTGCACACAATGTCAACACAAGGTTACCTATTTCTAGCACAACAAATTCTGCCTACCTCAGAAGGTGGTGGACTCTCCTTCCCTTGAGGTTTCCAAGCAAAGGTTGGGTGGCCACCTCTGTCATAGTTGCTTTTGTTGTTGAGTCCCCCTGGCGGGGGGTGGAACAAATTGGCCCTTGGGATCCCTTCCAACTTTTCTATCCTCTCCTTCATGAAAGCCACTCCAGACTCCTGAAAATGGTACATGGAGGATCAAGGACCTTGCTGAATGTAGTGAGCTATGATGTCTACAGGAGGGGAAGCTCCCCTCTGAACCAGGCAGAAGAACTTTGGTGGGAGGATGGCAGATTTTGGATCCAAAGATACATTTTCTGCCCTGGCAATGTGGTTATCAGATATGTGAATGATTTATGGTCAACTTAGCTTTAAATTGATAATTCCATGCACGTTGTCCAAAAGAAAGTGGCCTATATGATTTCATTGTGTGCATACCACACAATACTTAAGGGAAAGCAATATAGTTTATGAAGCCAGGAACAAGTGTCAGAGCTGCATTAGAGATTCTAATTTGTTCTATAAAATTAGAGTTCTCTGTTACATCCAAGCTGGCATACTAATTTAATACTGGTCAGATATGCTGCTACCTGTGATCTGATCCTCTTTAATTATCCTGATTATGTAAAGCTGAAAATGGATAACTGATTCTTGGATAAATAACCTGATAAATTAATACCCTGTAATTTTTTTTGTATTTTGCTATTGGTTATAATTGTTGCTAGCTGATCTCAGTGGCATACAGCCACAAGAAGTACACAATATGGGTTTCTGTGTCTATGTATGGGTTTGTATGTATAACTTGTGGTTAGCTGGGCAACAGTAACCATAAATCATTTTCAGTTCACTACCATTAATCTTCAGAACTTGTACTTAGTGACATTTTCTAACAGAAATTCCAGTGCATTGAGGGTTTAGGGTCAGGATCAGGATCAGGGTGAGGGTTCTGGTTAGGGTCAGGGTTACATTTATGTGTACTTCTTGTATTTCTTGACTTCAATGAAAATCTCACTTCCCTCATCACAAGCCTGTTAACAAGAAGAACACATCACTATAGTTTTGCTGCATTATTGTGCACTAGGGAACAGCCTTGGACATTTTTGTCTGTTTATGCTACGTTGGCCCAAAACCAATGACCTAGTGGCAAAAAGCAAATGCTATGTGGGTACATTTTTGTTCCCAACTTCTTTCTTTCTTTCTTTCTTTCTTTCTTTCTTTCTTTCTTTCTTTCTTTCTTTCTTTTTCTGTTTTCTTTTGGGTTAAAAAAAGGACATGGCTGAAATCTGGGAAAATTTGTTTGCAACTGTGCAGGTGACAATGCAACAGAATGACTACAATGTAAATTCTGTTTGACTAAAATGTTCCATGCTGGAGAATGAGGGTTAATCATCTATTATTTTCTCTAGTCTCTAGATAAAGGAAGAGCTCCAAGAGCACAAGGAATGTAATCCTGCACCTGTTTCATCTCACTATGGAACATAATTGAGAAAATGTTAGGCTGCTTATCTAGTATTTACATATACTGAATCAAAAGCATAATTATGCACTTCATTGGGTTACAAAAAAGCAAATCCCTGTTTATTGAGTAGCATGCCAGGAAGCAGAGCAGGTGAACTTCCTTGGCCACGTAGTTTCACTCAAACAGTGGGGCTGGTCTTGTTTTTCTTTGTCAATGAAAAATGGCTCTGCCCTTCCTTTCCTCAGCTTCTTACGCCAGAGTGCTTCCTGACTGTAGCTGCTGGAAGTATGCTTGATAGAGCTTGTGAAAGGAACCTAGCACAGGTCAATTATGGGTGGAACTACCCTAAGCTTTTTGGAAGGAAAAAAAAGTGAGATTTAGGGAGTGATTTGTGGTGAATGTAATTAGGGGAAAGCATTTTTTTAAAAAAAACTTTTGAGGCTTTCAAAAGATCTGTGGGCCCCATATCTCTTGTAACCTTAGATATGAAATGAGGGGAGGCTACAGAGTGGGGTCAGACTGAACTTATAAAAACATTGTATATGAATCTACATCTATGAATAGGCCTTCTCCACCACAATTCCTTCTCTTTGCTGTCTGAAAAGATAAATTAAGACATAACTCCCTGCTGTTTTTCCCTCCCTTTCCTCCCTCTACTCTTTAAGCTGGAAGCAACCTCTGTAATTTAATTACCATACCTTTCAGACTGTTTGGTGGTCCTTATGAATTTATTTCCTCATATTTTTCTCTCACTTTTCTTTACATGTTTCAAAGTCACTCCGTAAACATTTACACCATTTCCTCTCAGCAATGCTAAAATAACATTGCCAATGAACTGGAGGGAGGGATAGATAACATGAAAGAGAACTCGTTTTTGGTCTCCCTTCCCTCTTCCCTGAGAATTCATAGATGGAGAGTGTCTGGCTGGTTATACCAAGGTTGTAGCAGACCTCTAGGACTTCTGAATAAATGGTTTGTTTTAGCTAGCATCACTCCCATTTGCCATGAAATGGTGCCACCTTTTCCTATCTTACACCTTCTGAGCTCCCCAGAACTTCCTTTCAACTGATGTCACTGGTTCTCTTTATGAGTTAGAGCAGAAATAATAAAATAGAAAGCTCTTGTACGGTTGGAGTGTAAGGGAAGCTCCAATCTTCAGTGAGATTTCATGATTGTACAAGTGGTTCGTTCCCAGAAATTTGTATGTCTGAGCCAAATGGACAATTGCAAACATTGGAAGCATAAAAAGGGCTGTAGGAGCAAATTCATACTGAAACCTTCGCTGGTGTTTTATTTAGTTTATTTTATATGCTGTCTTTATCATGGCATGGGATCCGAAGTGGCTTACAAAGACTAAGAACAAGGTTAGTTAAAAACTTGATATCAAGAAAGCTAAAATGCAATTAAACAATCATCACAATAAAATACCATTAACTTTTAAAAGTACAAAATCATTTTTAAAACACAACAATAAAGTTAAAACTAGAGCATCCACATCCCATAAAAAGGTCCTTGTAACCAACTAATCATTAAAAGCCTTTTTGAATAAAAAGTTTTTTGCCAGTGAAAGGAGAGTACAGAGGGGTCCTGTGACTGGTATCAGTTGACATTCTGGCTGAAGCATGTTCAACCTGCTGCAGTTTCTGAACAATCTCCAAAGGCAGAGCCACCTTGAGTGCATTACGGTAGTCCAATAGGAGTGTAATCAAGAAATGTGTCTCCATAACCAGATCTGATGTCTCAAGGAATGGGTGCAGTGGGCACACTAGTCTTAACTTTGCACATTCACTTCTGGCCAAGGCTCTGGGTTGAGTCCAGAAGAACAACCAAGCTGCAAGCCTGAGATTTTGGAAGGAATGTAACCCCATCCAGTACAGACTGAATCCCTGTTCTTTGATCTGCCTTTTATTGTCACATAGTCAAACTCACTGGCAGCATGGCATAGTTCTAAGGGAAAAAAAAGAAATAAATCATTTGACCAAAGTAGACAGTGGCTTGAGAGCCAGTGTGGCATAGTGATTGTAGCGTTGGACTGCAACTCTGCAGACCAAGGTTCAATTCATTGCTGGGGCAAGAAAACCACTGGGTGACCATGGGCAAGTCACGCATTTTCAGCCTCAGGGGAAAGCAATGGTAAACCCCTCTCAACAAATCTTTTTAAGAAACCTCCATGATAGGTTTGCCTTAGGGTTGCCATTAGTCAGAAACAACTTGAAGGCACACAACAAGAACAACAAGAAGACAGTGACTTGTGTTCTTGAGAGGGTTATTTTGTTTGGGACCTGACACAATGAAATTGTGGTCCAGAAGATACTGGGAATAGGTTTTTATTTTGGGATGAACTTACATTTGGAGTGCATATGCATCTGGTTGAGAACATGGCTGTCTTGTTATGTTAGAAATCACTTGATTTCATCTTTGGAAACAACTGCTAGTGAACAAAGAGTTAAGGAGCCTCCCTAATTTCAGAGCAGTCACCTTTGGCTTAAATTACTCACTTTCAGTTTTAGGTTCATTTAAAAAATTCCAACACCTGGCATGTTTAAACAAGTGTATAATTTTTTGTAAAGCTGGGTGCTGCCCTTACAGTTTTCATCTCATGGAAAAGTTGTGGCTCGACTTTTTTCCTCTGCTCTCCCGGCACTCCACACATACACAATATTTGCTGATTCTGAACCTGCAGAGTAACAATTTACAGGTTATATAGGCCTGGGTGATCATATAATTTTTTTTTATAAAAAATTGCTGCTTTCATCTGTTAAAATTTCAGAAAAAGCAAAGTGCTGACTAAGATCAAACAGTCCCACAAAGTGCCAATTTTCCTCTGCTCTCATTTGGCTTCAGGTAGAAGAAACCTCTTGCTATTGAGCCTACTTTGCCGTAGGGGCTCTCCCTCTCACTTTCTCGCCCTGTAGGGAGTGGATCTTTATGAAAATTGCCAGGGTTGCAGTTCTTGGTTGCTGCAAATTCAGCATTCTCTTCTCCCGACTGCTTGGCAAGTTCAGTTTTTAACAAGCCTCCGTGATAAACTCATGTCCTGTTTCCAGGTGAAACTTGAAAATTACAAGTAGCTGTACAGTTTTGCAAAAGCTTTGTGTATCTATTACTTTAATTTATATTCCATCTTTCCTCTGGCACAGATAGTGGCTTCTATGTCAGTAGAACAGTAAAGCAATGAATCTACTCCAGGGTTCAGCCTGAACATTATTAAAGAAGCTTTAACAAAACATTAAAGAAGCTTTCAAAGCTGCCTGACACTATCCTTCAAATTATTGAGATCAAAACTTGGAGTAGATTTACCACTCCACTGTCACTGGGAGCCATCAGCCACAATTACAGTTTTAGTGGATATGCAAGGGTTCAGTATATGGTTCATAAGCTGCAACAGGTGAAATGATCTCTGGAGCAGAGGGTTAGGGATGGTGGGTCTACAACTTTCCAGAAATTGTTGGGCTGTATCTCTCACTAGTCCTTGTTAATTTAGCCAGTGATAAGGGAACAAGGTTGCCATGTCAGAATCAGCCCAGAATCTGAAATTTCCGTGCTGAAGTCTAAGACCTGGGAATGGCTCCTGGTGATATTCTACTGGCTTTCATGCTTTTTTACTTCATGTTAATAGTTTCACTTCTTTTATGGGCTTTTAAAATCTGTAGTGTCACCAGAATAGATTTTTATACATTGTTCTACAGAAAATAACAAGTAATCTTTATTTTTTGTAAATACAGAAGGAGGCCTTCTAATTTGTCTTTCTTTTGAGCTGTATATCTCAGATCCCTCCATGGAAACAGGAGGTGAGGGTTGCTGCAGACTACTAGGTCATTTCCTTTTTTTACCTGATATATCTTACTGGCAAAATTAGTACCTGACTATATTTGTTAAGGAGATTGTCGCATCATGTGCTCTTGACAGTGGTCTGTTTTAGAATTCACAACAGCTGGGCACAGGGTCTAACTCTGGTTATTATCCCATAGAATCAACAGAACTCACACAAAATATTGCCATAGCAAGTTCCCACTGACTGATTGGTTCTACACTAGTTGGGATTAACAGTTGTTTTGAGGTTTTTGGATTCTCATCTTGTGATACAATGGCTGCATTCTGAATAAAGCATAGAAACATTACTATTGGCTATTATAGTTTTCACTGGCCATGCTGACTGGGGGATTATGGGAATTATACTTTTAAAAAGTAACTTTTCCAAATTATGTTTCTGAAAAAATGATGCATATAACCAAGTAAATTGTTGCCTCTAAACTGTCATATATATTTATTAGTGTTTATTTTAAAGGTGGATCACCTAATAGATCTCCTTTGACTGGCAATGGTACAATGACTACAATGTCTGCCTATTTATAATGCAAACTGTTTCCAGTGGCTGATAGGAGGGAGTGAATTCAGCTGGCTTATATATGTGTATATTCATATATGTGTACATACACCTTAGCATCCAATACTGTGTGCAAACTCCTGCAGTGGAAACTGTCATGGTTTATGAGCCGACATAATGTCTCCGATGTATGACTGAACATATGTCTCTATTTAAAAAATAATGTTATTTTCACAAGCATTGTCACATTAATGATTGGCACTAATTATAAACCCAGCAGTTGTGTAGTGGATATCCAATCCAAGGTTCCATACAGTTACCACAGAAATCCAGAATAAGGTTTTAGGATATGCTAGGCCAGGGGTAGGCAACCTTTTGGAGACCTGGCCCAGTTCCCCGAAGTCCAGGTCTCCACTGGGCCGAGGGGGGTGGGAATGGTGGTGCTGCACGCGCCCCCCCGCACGCTGCCGCCACCGCCACCATGCGCGTGGCTGCCATTTTGATTTCCAAAATGGCGGCTGCGGTGTGCGCAGCCGCACAGAGGCAAAAACGCGCCGTGGCAGTGGCAGGGGTCCACCTGGGCCTGTAAATCCAGCAATCTGGGCTGGAACCGGCCCGGGGGCCATAGGTTGCTGACCCCTGTGCTAGACCATAGCACATCACTGACTAAGTGTCCAGTTATGATACAACTAAGCCACTTTTTTCTTTTACTTTGTTATTTTCTAGAAGAACATTACCTACCATCTAGGTAATATTTTGAACATGTTCAGTTATTCCAGAGATTGCTAAAATAAGTCAGATATAATCTCAACTGCAGACTCTTCCATGTGCGAGCCAAATTTTAAGAAAGCTGCTGGATTAATTTCTTATATAAATTTACCAATGTTTATGCTATTAGGAAATAAACTCCTGAGGTAGTAACCTTAAATGCTGCTTGTTTGACTTCCTAGGATTGTGCTATACTTACTCTCTGCCAAATGAACAGTGTGTTCATGTATGGGATGCCAAATAGCAAACTTCTGACTCTATTATATTGGGATTATGGCCAATCTGTTAGTCACTGGATAAACATTAGTGACTGATTTCAAAGCACCAGACTGAACAAAGGGAGAAACTCCTGTCTTCCCCTCTCATGTGTGTTTCTAATTCATCTACTTGAATGAATCTTCATTCTTTTGAAAAGAAGTGTCAATATTTAGCAAATTAATAATTATGAATCATTTCTAGTTCTAGGTCTATACATTTTCTTATGATTATTTATCATATTCATCCTCACTTTGGGATGTACGTGATGTCACACTTGCTTTGGATTTGTTATCTAGGATTCTAAGGTGGGTTTTCAATGTCCACCTCCAAGGCCATTGTCATTGCACTACATAGATTGATTTCATGAGCTATGTGTGCTTGGCCACATCTCTCTTCACCCTCTCATTAAACTGATTCACCAACCTGTGTTGAACAGTCACACCATATTTCTTAAGTATTTTCAGACAATAAAAACTCAACTCATGAGATAGGCAACAATGCTCTAACACAGCTGGAACTTGGAAAGAGGGGTTACAAAACTATTTATTGTCTGTTCTCTTTTTAAAGCAAAATAAACAGAGAAGGGAAGCATGCACTGGGCTGGCTACTTGATCAACAAGATGCAGCAACCTATCCAACACTTCTGTCCATGGAACAAAGCAACAGCTGTCATATGTTAGCTGTGCAATTGATTCAACACACAAATATTAAAATTTACAGAAATTTTACAGAAACAGCCAATGGTAGAATTGGACCCCCAACTAATTTACCCAGACTATCACTGGCTGGCAACCAAATTACCCATTATTAGCTACATGAGGCTAACAATAATAATATATAACTATTATTAGCTATATGGGGTTATATAGCGCAGAAACAAAGAAAATGAAAATGTGTAAACATAACTCCTCTCCCCACCTATGAGAACTGTGCTTGCAAGTTAGCAAAAGAGGAAATTTTATTTCCCCTCTCTGTTCTCTGCCTTGCTTGCTTTTTGCTGCCTCAGTCTGTCAAGCTAATGCAGAAAAGGATCTTACAAGGTCACTAATACAAGTAAGCCCTTTCATACCACTGGAGAGCTGTAAATGTATAACTATGATGCCAACAAGGACTCCAGAACCCATCAGTCTAGTGGTAGAGGCCCAACTCTTTATACAAATGGATCCAAGATGTGGTTGTAGGGCTCTTTCACACTACACAGTTATGATACTGTGATTCCTTAGGCAACATCCTATGGAATTCTAGGGTTTGTAGTTTGGACAGAGACACTGGAGGATCGCTGTGACTGAGAATTTTAAATAAACCTTCCTAAATTGCAAATCCGAGGTTCCCACAGGATAAAAGTTAGAGTGGATTCTTTACACTATAGCTATGTGGTGTGAAAGGGCCTCTGCTAATATTACCTGCTTCTCCCAACAGAAACAAGAATGGAGGAAGCTCCCCTTACAGTTTCCCATGTGCCTCAAAAACCTATTTCAGAGTGCAAGGAAACCTCACACAGTGAAAAACGCTGCTGAGGGAAGGAGAGAAGAAGAAAGACTCTTTTAGCAGTTAGGGTACATGGGATATAGGCCATTCATATCTATATCTTTATCTATATAGCACATGTTGTGTCCCTTCAGATAGTTTCCAGCTTGTTGCTGCAAAAATATTATAGTTTGACAGTGCTTTAACTGCCATGGTTCCATGCTTTGGAATCCTGGTATTTATAGTTTATGTG